GCGGCGTCAGGGCTGGGCGGTGCGTTGCAATACGAGGAACCGCTGAGCTCAGCCGCAGAGGGCCGGGGCCCACTTCCAACCCACTCCGCACAGGCATAAAGAGCATGCACCGCGCTTGGCTAGACTCGACAGCTGCCCTGTCCCGTTTCTCCTGCATTTTGCTTCCCTTCCCATGAGGCTTTGACTTGTTGCAAGCCTGCAAGTCAGTTTCGGGAGGGATACCCTTGCAAAACGGTTTTGCTCCCCCTTTTCTGTGACCCCCTCCCCCCCCAAGCATGCACGCTAGCTAGCTCTCTGGCAGTGAGAGAGGAGCTCTCGAGGGAGAAAATGTGACGCCCCCTGCCTGGCCCTTTCTCCCCCCTCTCTTCAAAAAATTCAGAAGGGAACCGTTGGTGGGGTCAGCTGATGCCTGTGGCTCACGTGTATTGCACTGAGCCCAATGCATTTCCACAGGGGGAGGCAAAGAAATGTTCATTAACTAACGATCATCCCTGTTAGCCGCTTGCAAATGTTGGCACCTCATCGCTCCAAGCAAACAACTTCAAAGAGGGACCTTTGCCTCGGTGGCTGGAGATCAGTCAGCTGGTGTCATTCTGTGGCGCTCGGGTCACAATCCGGTTAAGGGGGAGAGAGAGCCACATGGATGCACCGCTCAGGTCACTAACCCCCCGTCCCAACCCAAGTTACACCACCACATTGAAAGGAAAAAGGATCGGAGCTTCTTACCCAGCCTAAGCAGAAACTCGCTTTCCCCGGCGCAGCCAACTCCTGCAGCCTGCCCTGGTTTTCCCTGGAGAAGGGGATTGTGTAAGAGGGCTTGCTTTGCTCTTGTGCGGAGGGGAATGTCTTTCTAAAATGACCCCCAGAGCCTTGGTGCTCCAGCGTCAGCAGCAGCTTCAGCTGCCTCCTGGGGCGAAAGGCGATAAGAAACTCCGACGTTTCCTTGAAGGAGCCGCAATGACTCAGGAGAACAAGTTTTCCTGCCCAGCTTTCAGTAGAACAAATGCCCTGGTGTGCATTGCCCGGATCCCGGCCGGGACGTTACAGAAAACGCTTTTTGAATGCTTTGGGCCGACGAGCCAAAAAAGCAGCACCTAGGACTTGCCAGAGGAGGAAGGAGAGGGAGGGGGGTCAGGGGGTGTAGAGCTCATGGAAGTACCCATCTAGTTTGTGTTTGCAAAAGAACAACCCCCCAGCTGAGATTTCAACCACCTTTGCGAACAGCCTGGGCGTCATTACTTGTTGCCTTGCAGTGGCCCTGGGCAGCACGTGGGTTTGTTTATGAATAAAGGCTCTGCCGGGGGACGGCTGGGGTGAGGGTGGCACGAAGGTTAGTGGGTGCCCCTGGGAGGGCAACAGTCTACAAGGGGGGGGAGCACGTGTTGGAACGAGGGCTGGGTTTCAGCGTTAGCTGCGGCGGCCACATTCCTATTCACTTCACTCACTGCAACTTCGAAGAAGTCTCCTAACTTGTGATGTGTCCCTACCCGCTATACCGCGTAGAGTTGAGCTGCAACGTGGCCATGAATTTTGCTGCCCCCTTTGTGCATCTTGCCTCACTCCACATCCCCCTTGGCCGGCATGCCCTACAGCTCATGTGTCTAACTTGTACTCCCCAAAAGAGAGCACCCCAGCACAGGGGGAGAGAGATGCAGTTCACTGCTGCTCTCAGACTGCAATTCGGTTTAAAGAGAGTGTGCACAGGTAATGGTAATGGCCTGGGGTGGGAAATTGCGCCATGCATACGCGGAAAGTAGTTCAAAGACAACACACTGCTGGTAAGTTTAAGGCAGAGACTGAAGGGGCTGCTGCCGGCCGGCCGGCTCCACTGCCTCACGTGGCTGAGAGCCGGGAACCTTACACAGTCTCCTAGCGTGCAAAGGAGCGAGAGGAAACCGGCACGCCAAGGCGCAGTTAGTTTGGGGCAGCTGTTCCGATCCTCTGCTTTCTTCCACTTGTTGCTTTGTCTGTACGGGGTGCAAAATCGGCTTGTCTGATCCGAGCAAGCCACCGACGCCAATTCCAATCGTCTGCTAAACGCGCCGGGGGAGCTGGCCAGCTGGCCCCGCTCCCTGCCTCACCCAACTCGCGTGCCAGGGCCGAGGCTACGCGCCCCCACCAAGCTCTGCAGGCTGCCACCGGGCCCGGGCTCTGTGCAGCAGAAATGTCCCCCTCCCGCCACATGCCATTGCTGCATTACGCAGCGCCCTCTTCTCAGCAGCCCTTTCCCTGTGCTCGCTCCCCACCCCTACAGCGCCCACACAAGCTGCGATCCCCTCGTTTCCTGTGACACGCAGTGCTCGGGCTACGCGCCCCCACCAAGCTCTGCAGGCTGCCACCGGGCCCGGGCTCTGTGCAGCAGAAATGTCCCCCTCCCGCCACATGCCATTGCTGCATTACGCAGCGCCCTCTTCTCAGCAGCCCTTTCCCTGTGCTCGCTCCCCACCCCTACAGCGCCCACACAAGCTGCGATCCCCTCGTTTCCTGTGACACGCAGTGCTCGGCCAGGGTCTTGTCAACCCGGCGCTGGCTGCAGCGCAGCTCGCTTGCGCCTTCCCCCTGTTCCCGCTTGGCTGCAGCAGCCGCTCGCTTGCAACACCCCGCTGTCACCATGGCTCTGTGAAAGCCTGTTGCCCTGCAGCCTCTCCACACCGCTCGGGAGGCGTATCACCCTTCTATGACCCTGCCACAATGTTAATTGCTAAATGGGGTGCCCCCTCTCTGTCCCTCTGGGGGCACCCCCGTACCGTATAGGTGCTGGAACTAGGAGTGTGTGTGTGTGTGTTGCAACATCTCCTGGCTTGGTTTGCATTATATACAGAGTCTCCAGTTGGGTTGAAAAGCTCTCAGGAACCCCATTATCAAAATTGTTCCAACTCCCTGCCCTTCTCCCTGGCAGGTACCAAACGCCCCTGCTCCAGACACCTCCCCCCGCCAGTCCTGTTAAAGAACAACAAAGCTGGAACTGCAGCCTCGGTTCAGTGACTGTTGCCCCCCCTTCCCCACCGGTTTGCAGGTCTCCTTCCTCTTTTGGAGAAAAGGTAATTAAAGTCCCTATCAAATGTCAAGTGCTCAGCCTCCTCCGCTCTCCAATCAGGAGGGTCATTCCGCATCGTTACCACTAAGGGTTTCTCAGAGCCTCAAACAAGCCAGAGCGAGACTGTAACAATTGCAAAATAAACCAACCTTTTAATGAAGGCTTCTCTTCTTTGCCTCTCATCTCTCTCGCTCCCTCTTAAAAATCCTACACAGTAGTTTTGAAACGGGGCTCTGACGCCCTGGCTGGGTTATGTATCGCTATAAACCCGAATAACACCCTCTCCGTGGCCGGCCAGAGCTGGAGGGAAGTGGTGAGTAAAGAAAGTAGCGGCTGAGTCGGCTTGCTGCCCGTTTTATGCACCCCATATACAAGGTGATTTACATACAGATCAGTGGAGTTCAACATTGGTCACGCCAGGCACACTCTGCCCCGTTGCAACATAGCCCTGGGAGTTACTGTAATCACCACTTTATTACACACCAGTGCCTGCGTCTGCAACTGAAATGCGGGTCTGCTGGAATTGAGCTGCTGCACAGAGCGCATGGAGAGCCCTCCCGCAGCACACACAGGCCGCAGGCCCGAGGGGCTGCTCTGCCCTCCGCACTTGGCCTGGTTGGCTCCCTGTCAAAGCGTAAAGACGAGGAGTCGCCGCCGTGGTAGCTGTCGGGACGGAAAAGGAACAGGGGCCAGGCTGCTTTGGGTGGGTGGTTTTCCCTCTCCCCTCCCCCGCCCTTCACTTCCATCCTCTTGCTGAGACAGATGGGCTCCTGCGCTTACGGTGTAAAAGGACAGAGGGGTTCTGGAGACGGGTGTGCCCTGCCCACCGGATAGCGACCGGGTGGAACAGGCGCCCCCTGTCCAATCCTGGCATCGAACTACTTCCGAACAGGAAACAGATAGAGATATATCGGGCTCCCCTTCTCTGCCGCCCGGTTGCAGCACACTGAGGTGTCTTTTCCGCTCCCCCTGCGCACACAATAGGCACATGTCTGTGCGCAGAGCCGCAGGCGTCTGGCTGGGTGTTCTTCCGCACAATTGCATCCGCTGCGCCTTTGGCACGTGTCCCGTAGGTGGCGATCGTGCTTTCTTCCGTGGAAGAAGAACAACCAGCACCAAGGGGCGGGGGGAAGGGGGTTGCTTTTTAAGAACTGCTGCCATCCTTCCCCTTTGGTCATCCATACGTGGCAGCCTTTCAAACTGGGAAGCTGTGCCCCTGAAGGCCGCAGGAAAAGATCACATTTTTGCTTTGTTACTCCTTATTTAGTGGATCGTTTTCACTGAGGAGTCATTGAAGGCTTAGAGAGCTGTCATGCACTGAACTTTCCATTGTCTCTTCAATTTTGGCTTTATCCCAAGGGAAAATAACCCAGAGAGAAGTAAAATGAACAGATTGCCTCTCCCGACTGCTCAGATGGCATAGTGATAGGTGCAATAATACATGACAGACAGGTCCCTATATTTAGTTTCCCACACAATTAATCCTTTCCTTGTTTTTAAAAGATCTTTCTAATCTAATTCCTACACCTATTTTAAAACATTTCCATAATAAAAGTCTTGACTTTTATGTAGGAATATGCACAAACACCTATGGGAGAGTGTGACGTAGTGGGGGTACTTGCTGGGCTGTGGTGACCCCTGCTGTCTGGAGCAAGACCCAGCAGGGAAAACCTCACTATGCAAAGGTAGTGCCAAACTTGTTGAACCAGACACCCCCCATGGAGAGGAACAAAGGAAGGTGGAATGCTGCCCTGACTGGGGGGCAGGGCTGGAAGGGAATTGAGTTAGT